CAGAGTTTAGGGCTGTTGTACATAGGGTCGCTTGAGTCGCAAGCGACTCGACGGCACGTAACAACAACAAACGATGTTTACCTATGGAGTCCAAGTTTTTTAAGGTTTCCATCATCACATCCCTGTAGAGTTTTTTCTGAGTAAGATTCAGCAGAGCCCACTCTTCCTGGGTGAAGAGGATGACCACGTCCTCCAAGATCAACGGTGCCTGAAATACACAACATATTGTGCATCAGCAAGGAACATCTGCCAATGCATACCAGAATAAAAAGCGTAACATACTTGTAATACCAAGAAATCACACCGCTGTGACAAAATTCCATTTTCTACCAAGACCGATGCAGGGAATCAGACTTGAGTCTTGTTCATGTAGTATTTTCCCTTCTGCACTGACTAAACCCTGTATTGTCAGAGTCGCCTCCTACTGAAGTAACTTGCGCCTTGGTGTCTAAGCATTTTCATTCAGAGGTCTTTCCTCACCAATCATTGACTATCTCTTTTTAAATTTATTTATGAATTTTTATGAAAGTTTACAGACACTTAGGATTTCCAGTCTTTCACTGTTGCACTTTTCTCCCTGCCTGTCCCCACCGCTTCAAATCACTCTTCTCCTTGAAAACTTTCATTGTTATACAACACCCCCCACCCGTTCGCTCCACTATGCAGCCTTCACTCTGGACTTCTGTAATGATAACATTACCCGATCATATATCCCTTTTAAACATTTCTCTCCCTCATCTGTTTCAATGCAGTATACATCATGCCTCCCTTCTTTTTCTGTCTTCCCTCAACCCTGATGTCAGTAACGGTTTACAACAGTGGCCCTATGCAATATTTGTCCTTTTGTGATTGAGATAGTTCACTCAGCATAGTGTCCTTGAGGGTCACCCATTTTGAGTAATATTGCAAGAGTTCCTTGTTTTTCAATGAAGCATAGTATTGCATGGTGTGTGGATATACCAGAACTTCTCTATCCGTTCGTTTGCTGATGGGCACCTGGGTTGTTTCCAGCTCTTTGCTACTGCCGCGATAAACATGGGTGTGCATATATCATTGACTCTTTATTATGTGCTTAAGTATTAACTGTGTGAAGGAGAGAGCATTAGGATAGGATACCAGCCTGCAACACTCAGTCACCGCAAAGCTGCTTGACAACTCAGAGTTGACAGGACCCTGGCCCATCGCTCACTGATTTCTACAAACCCTGCCCTGCACGCCTCCAGTCAGGGAAGCCATTCCCCTGATGTATCTGAGTCTCTGGGAGACCTTCCAGTGAATATTCGAACCCAAGCAACTGAACAGAGGAGAGACCTGTTGATGTAGGAAACCATGGACTTATACAGCAAGTCAAGGATATGGAACGACACTTAGTGACACTTCTTAGACCTTCTCTGCTACTGATTTTACCAGCATGAACGATAAACACACTGTGAGTCCTTTCAGTGTGAACACAGGCACACTTACTTGATGGTCAAGAACACAAAGGAAGCAGCAAGAGCAGGATTAGGACTGAAAAAGGAACGTCAGTCAGAGGAGAACAGTCAATTTCAGGTCTTTTGAAAAGATGTCGGGGAGCTCTGGTGGCCTAGTGGCAAGAAGCTGCACTGCGATCTCAGAGGTATGCGGTTCGAATCCACCAGATTCTCTGCTGGAGGAGGGGCGGTCTCCTCCTGTACCAGTCAGATCTGATTTGACGGTACACACACAAAATAATAAAAAAAAGAAAAGATGTCTAAGAATAGTTGACAAAATATAA